AGCAGCGGCAGAGGAGCACATGCAGAGCATTCGGGCCAAGTCGAATGGTCATCCAACCCAAATTTAGACTGCAAGTGGAAGAGATACAGCCGTGGTCCCGTTAGAATATTGTGTGCATGCGTAGAAATTCGTATATTTTCCGCCGATTTCGTCGGTTTACAAGATGGCATGAACTGTCCTTGAAGAATCGGAGGGAGCTTCAAGAATCCCTACGTTGTCGCGAGAGTATAGTCGATTCTATCACTAGAGCGGCAGCAGAGAGACACCTGCAGAGTATCCAGGGCTATCCAGGGAGTAGACTGATTAGAGCTTCAAGTCATGTAACGCGGATTTAGGGTGAAGCACTGTGAGATGGATTGGATTTCGCGCCGGGGAAAATGGTATTCGCTTATTGATAGTTTGGCTCAGGGCGATGTTGAACTTTCAAGGTCGCAGAGGGAGGACCGGACATAGTCGAGCTCTTGGAGCGCCCAGCAACGGGTTCGTCGACCGAACGGGATGGTTGTGGCAGAGGCAAAAGGCGACCGCCGGATCCCCGATCAATGATGTTATCACTCGGATCATGACCACGGTTGTTTCCGAGCCCTCGCTAGCCCGCCAACGTCTTGGCTGTGGAAGGAGTATCGATGTACAGCGACGGGCAGTCGGAGACTAATGGAGTAATGCCGACATTGGGTTGTTGTACTCATTGACATCAGGCACATGCTTCGGGAAGCAGCACAGAAACGACACATTGTTATTCAAGAGGTGGAGAAGTTGTGGAGAAGCAGCTTTAGTGAGGAGTGCTACGGAGGTGACAATTTCATCGCCTCCGACATTCAGGTGCACATTACTGGTAATTTCCCAGGAATCTCCAGTTCTGGTTCGATGCTCCAGTCTGCGGGTAGAGTTTGACCTAAGATCATCCGAGTCATTGGGTCAGTACAGATCGAATTGAAGATGGGGCATGTGTGAGCTTACGGAAGAGCGCACATCTATAGGGTTGGCCACGGTCCAAACCTTGTCCTCGTTCGGCACGCGGACCTTCGGGATCGGAATTAGCTCTCAAGTCAACCGAAGGGGGAAAAGGCGTACCAGAAAAACACCGTCACCTGCGCGTTCGATGCTGAAGGAATCACGAGCGCCGCCGGGGTTGCCAGAGATAAGGAGGCCCTGAGGGTTGGTAAGTAAGATATTTTCCAAGAATAATAGTAGCGTACATCATCGCGGGCGAAGGTTGAGGTCTTGAGGCCGCCGACATTGAAGATCGTGTACTGATTTGAGCCATCCACCGCGGACTTGACCTCCCACTGTGCGAAATCAGCCGTGCATATTGCAGGAAAACGGAAGAGCATACCAGCTCAAAAGAGCCGGGGTTCTCTTTAGTAGCGCTGACGACTATGGGATCGTCCTTTAGGTAGCTGCGAAGGGTGGTGCGGGTGGCGTCGTTGAAGATCCTGTAGATGCCTGGCGCGATTACACCGAAAGTGTTGACCTCGGTGGGACCAACCGACTGGAAGAGCAGTTCAGCGAGATGCTACGTGAGCTTGAATGATTTCCAACCGTGCCAAGGTTGACGCTGCACGAAACCAGGGAAACCTGGAACGGCGGTGCAGCATGGACGAGGGTCAGAGCGGCAAGGTCAAAGGTAAGAATCTAGGAGAACATCGATGAAGATGAGGATAGGCTGAGATACTGGATGTGCGTTCCAATGTAAAGAGCACAAGGAACAGCGAGCTGGCCGGGTGGTGGCCTTTATACGCAGACTGTTCGGAAGCTACGAGCATCATGTTCGGCAAAAATCGCGATGGGGACGGCGATTTCGTGAAGGGATCGATTCGAGGGATGGCAGCGAGCTCTGGGATAACCCCAATTAGAGTCTGACGTCTACAACTGGTCCTAAAGCACCTAACTTATTTCCTTGGACTTGATAAGAAGCACTACGCCCGCACGGCTCTGGATAGTTCAATAGAACTTTTCACCTGGGGTATAAAAAAGTGCTGAGTCAAGGAACTGATCATGGCTGCTGCGAGACTACCATTCCAACACCCCGAGCTGGTTCTAACTAGGACAACTTCGATTGAAGACATTGAGAGCTATGCCAAATTGGGGGACAGACTCATGCTGGAATGGTCACAGGACACAATTGACTCATCAGAAAAGTTGTGCTTGCTTCATGGAAGGATAGAACCTCAGAAGGACAAACCTCCAGCGCAGATAACTTCAATCATGCGGCACTACCTCACAATGGTGAAAACTCAGACGCACCGAGAGGCTCTAACCTCGGTGATGCTTTCAACTCACCAACTAGCCGTTGAAATATTGCGCTATACAGATCATGCGTATCAGCCAGTGCGCTGGACGAATAGGCTTTGTAGGCTTTGTAAGAGAGAATTTGAAACTCCTGAACACGTGCTACTCACCTGCACGTCCCTAGACGTGCTTGTTGAACTTCGCAAGTCATTCATGGAACAATTATTCTCTACATCTCCAAACCTGCAATGCTTCATGACAGAAGATTCTGAGACAGAGTTTTTGAATGCCATGATATATTCCAGACCCAGTATTGCACTTGTAGCCAAATTTACCCATGATGTTCTCCAAATATTCTATGCCATCCCCGTATTCCGGTTGAACAACACCTGATATTAATAATTGGTCCCACTTTTTCTGTGCTGATTTTCTGCTTCTCTAGGGTTCCCTGGATTCACCGCGGCGAGACTGGAAGTCTGCGGCCGTGAGCTCGTCTTTGGTGCTTTGGAGAGGTCCAGGGGCAATAATGTATTTCGGCGCCTGTACATTAGATAATCCCTGGAAACCGGCGTTCCTCAGAGAACCGTGCCGTGTAATGCTACCTACCTACCTACCTACCAGCTAACACCCGTCGGATAAATTGCACGACAGTTTGAATTCTAGCGGGTTTAATGAGCATCCAGCACGAATTGAAAGACGAACGTTGCAGACGAACGGACAATGAGAATTTTCGCGCCGTCCGTGCTCCGGGCAGCATACGACGCGACCCTATACCTGGCCCGTCCCTGGCACATGGATTGGTTTAGCTAGCTACGGATCGTGTACCATAGTCGCTTACAGCGACTCACGCACGCTAATTGACTTCATCATCATCAATGAGATACGCCACATCAATCCAGGCGCAAGTGAACAGTGGAAGCGAAACCATTTGCCATTCAAGGTAAGTAGGGAGTTTCTCGACCTTTTCTCGTCATCCAACCACATGACACATCAGTTAAACCGTAATCGGAAGGACACGTATGGTCCAAGATTAAGCACACCTCTCGGTGAGGGAACGACACGCAGCATCAAAGAAATCGGAGGGCCTTGGTTGCTGGAGCGCTGGAGAGCCTGTGGCATAGCCTACCGCGCAGAACTGCGGCGAGATCAAGGCGAGGGCAGGCCGGAGTATAGGTTAAAGTTTAAACTCGGATCAGTGTTGTCAGGGTCAAGCCGAAAGGGTCAAGGTGCCTTGACCCGTCAAGCGATTAACCCATCAATGACCAATGACGTCATTGACCGTTCAGGGCCTGACAACATGCGCTTATGTACACAGTGGACCAAAAATTCAAAGATTTTTAGGGGCTTCCAGATACTCCCGATTGTCACCCCGAACAATGTGGCCCGGGGCCTTGACTGGTCGAAAGTGAACGAGTGATCAAGCTAGCAAGAAGACTATTCTCCTAAAACCCCGTCAAGGACAACACTGCATGATGATGATCGAATCACCGGCCCGGCGGACTTTGAAAGATGAAGCACCCCAGTCGGCATTCCTCCCTTGAGCTCCGCTCGCTCATTCCCATTGAGCTCCGCTCACCCTCTCTTCGTTGGCTGGCCATCGAGTTCCTGACTCGGTGCTACAGTCATAGCGGTGGCTGAGTCTGGAGGGGAAAACTTACTGTAGCACGTCTGAGCTCTTCTCCAGTGGATCCCAACATCCTTGAAACTTTGAAGACCCGGCCTGCGATTGCCGCAGACAATTCTTTCGAGGTGATTCTCCGCTTACAGCCACTCTCCTCCACTCCCCTACCCTGGTCCATTTGGGATGCCATCGTCCGGATCCGCGAGCTCGTAGCAAGCCAGCCCATCACCTCGGAGTCGGATTGGGCGTGAATGTTTAGCGCTTGGGAAGCTGGTGTCCTCCTGCTTTATCCCCACCGGCGTCGGGAGCTCCTCTCGTACTGACAGATCGCCATCGAGCTTGTCCGCGCAGCGCATCCGCTCATCGCAATCAACTTTGTCGATCAGGGCCGCTTCAAATACTCGAGATCCCTATTTAGATTGAACGACCGAGAACTCCTTCGACCCACGATCCTCGCTTGTATGATGTCCTTGACATCCCCACATCGCTCCCCTCTCACTCGGACCGCCGAAGGCTCTATTTCTCCCTCTCCAAATCCCACACTAAATTGATCTGCCGTCCCGTGTGAAAACTGCAATTTAGGTCGATGCGAAAGCGATCCATGCGTCCATAGTCGTCTGCACACCGAGTGTGGCGCTTCCCATCGTGCTCTCAAGTATGAGGATTGTCATTGGGGTCTCCTGGTTCAGCGAAGAGTTGATGGGGAGTTTCTCCAGTTTGAATCGGAGGGCTCGCATTAGAGATTGAGGCAGAGTCGAATCGGAGGAAGCGGGGCTCAATGCCTGATTAATTCAGTCCCTTTTATCTTTGAATTCTCCGCCCCTTGTTTTCTATTTGGATATGCCCATTCTCATTGCACACCAGACTCATTTCAACTTTTATCCAGCTCCTCACTACATCAATATCTTTCCCATCATCCCATCGACGCGACACACATCTAGCCCTAGCGCTCGCCAGCCTAACACTGTATGTACTATTACCCAGCCTGGAGTCGAACCAGGACCTCCCGTTGCTCATAGTCTTCTCTGGATTCACATGGTGCGGACGCGCGGACGTGGGCAACTGGGTCTTCTCCCTCCTCTGTGGAACTTCGTTAGATTTGGCAAGCGAGAGCATGGACGCAAAAATGTTCAGTCAACTCTCCCCATGACCCAGCCTGGATTCGAACCAGGACCTCCCGCTGATGGGCACGACCATTCCCTTATGCAGCGTGGGCGCGGACCATCCGCCACCGGGTCTTATTCTTGTACTGTAGGACCTCGTTAGATGGGTGAGCGCGGGAGAATCAGCAGTTAACGAAGGAAGAACAATAAAAATCTTGTCACAAACAGCCAAGAACACGGCCCAGCCTGGACTCGAACCAGGGATTCCCGCTGATGGCAGTCTTTTCGCTCATACGGCGCGGGTGCGGGCCATCCACCGCCGGGTCTTGCATGACCGGGCCTGGAATCAAACCAGGGTGTCCGCTGTTCTATTACAGGGGTGTGGGAGCCCGACCGTGCGCTACTGGGCCTCACTTCAGTGGCAAGGCCCCTCGTTAGATGCGGGATGCGACTATCGAGCATGAATAATGCAGGTGATCGAGCGAGCGCTTGAGATGGGGTGCGTGCGAGATACCAGCGCTTGTATCGCTATGACCGAGTGGTTGCTATCCTTGGGGGCGAGCGGCGGACGACGGCGCGCGCGAGAGGAGCAGGGGTCGTCTGGGGTACGCTTCTCGAGATTATATCGATGCACTAGCCGAGGACGAGGACGGAGCGCGCGTCTAAGGGCACGGCCGTGGCTTGGTGCCGGTGGATGCCAATGGATTTCACCGTAGCCTGCTGGACATTGTTGAATAATGTGCAAGATAAGCGCTGCAGCGTTCCGATGATTCCGAAATTGCGGAACAGTTCGATTCAATATTGAGTTGGGATTCAACGTTGAACACTCAATCACTCAGCGTACGTCTCTTTAAGCTTCTCCGGACCATCTGCGCATCCTTTGTTTTGAACTTTCTGGTGGCAGATGTGCGGCTCGATCTCGGAGTACAACACCGCGCGTGTGTTACGGTGTCCAGGACCTCAGTGTTCGCCCGAACGGTGAAGCCTTCAGACCCTGAAGGCCTTCGGGGGGCCTTCATGAAGGCCTTCAGAATTTTCGGCAGAATTTCGCGCCGTTCCGAAGGCCTTCAGATATCACGTGTATGTATTATGTAATTTTCGAAATTTGCGTCCTCCTCCCACCGGTCGCGCCAAGTCATGCCAAACTCGTTGCAAGATCACTTCTGGCGGGGTGAGAAACAGAATACAAGCTACTACAAGAACTACTGCAAGGCCTACGTCAAAAACCAGATGCAAAGTGTCAGTGCGCCGCTGGCTGACATCTGATTCCATCACCATCAGCGCGGGTGATTGAGGAGGAAGAGCTGTTGATGCAGGCACTGGCAGAAGAGTTGGAGGATGATGTCCCCGACGATGGGGCCATAGAGAAAGATTCCGAGGACTAGTATCATGCCTAATTTATTGAATTGGACTTGTCGAAACGGCTGTGTCAAACAGCGTGGGAAAATCAAATGAACCCCTTCGCGTACCCTTCACGCTGAAGCCTTCACCCTTCAGAAGGTCTTCACAATCTGGAGACCTGAATTTGAAGGCCTTCGGGCGAACACTGGGACTCCAGGTACGTTTTTTAATGCATACGAGCCGCGTGCATCAGCGCGCTCGTCAGCCTTTCTTGCTTTTTTTTTTCCCGCTCAGAACACTGGCAATATCTTCAAAAAGCGGCTCCAAATTCACGGCCTGTACGTCGGGGACCACATCCCCGCCCTGGCCGCCGCGCTTCTTCGCAGAGGTGCCGGCGCTGCTCGCGCAAGGCAAAATGTTGGGACTGGAGGCGTTCACGGAGGGGCTCGATAGTGCTCCTGAAGTGCTCGTAAAACCGTTGCAGGAGGGTGGGGCTGAGGAGTTGGGGAAGCCGGTCGTGATTGTCGCGAAGGGGTAAAGAGAAACTAAACACAAATTGCTGTGTGAATAATTATGTACAGTATGAAACCTCCCAAGTCTCCTTATAAATTACTTGCGAAGATCCTTCATTGCCTGAAGGTTCATCTGGCGTGTGGGTAGGAAGAGTAGGCAATTCCTGACTGGCAGCCGCGACAGATGCTGTTTCCAGTCCCAGTAGCGATGCATCCAAAGTCCCTGAAGTCAACCGTTAGCATCCGGTGATAGATGTGGGTGTGTGGAGGGAACGCTCACTGGAAGAATGTGCAGATGAATCCACCAGGCACGACGGCGGTAGAAATCTCCTTGTTCAAGAAGCTGAGCCCGCCGGTCACGTTGACACTGCTGTCGGAACCCATTGGGATGTCACGCATCCGGCATTTGTACCCCCGCTGCAGACCTCGACTGTCGGACTAGCATCCTGGTTTAAATATTGTGTGCAGTTAAACACGGCAGTCGTAGAGCGGAGCAATCGTGCACGTACCGTGCCTGCTTTGTTGGCGGCCGCCGATGCGAAGCGAAGGAGATAATGGCGGAGAATCAATAGAGAGGAGAACTTTGGAGCTGAGCATTGGTGTAGTTAGTTAACTTGAGCGAACTGGGGTCAGCCAGTAGCATCCCAGCCCTTCATACACCGTTCAACCCTTGTAACTGGATAGTTGGGTTCAGTCATTCTCCACGCAGCGCGTTCACGCCGACATAACGAATGAACGTTGGATTGCAGCTGTATGGACAGAAAGAACGTACCTGTGCATACATAGTCTGGGTACAGCATGAATAGCCAAGTCAGTTCCTTGGCGTCTGGCACCTCAAACCTCGACTTTTAATGCTGTGAATCTTCATAGTTGTGCCGTTGCCATTGTGTGCGTATCAAAAAACTACGCACGGGGACGACAAAGTGCCGATCGCACAACTTTTGAGCGCCGAGATGTCTGTCAGATTCCATTTCAACTCGCCTTCGAGTCCGCTTCCAAGTGTATAGCAGATGCCAAACAAGGAAAGCACAAATGCCTTCCCCATTGGTCGTCAATTAGCGTCTGCTACATCTAAAAACTGCTCACCGTATACTTTATTAGGTACTGGGAGGTGGTAGGATAGCAGCTTCCATTTTGTTTGTGTGAGTGTCAAAGAGCTACGCACGGGGACGACGAAGTGCCGACCGCACAGCTTTTGAGCGCCGAGATGTCTGTCAGACTCCATTTCAACTTGCCTTCGAGTCCACTTTCAAGGGTATAGCAGGTGCCAAACAAGGAAGGCAAAAATGCCTTCCCCATTGGTCGTCAATTAGCGTCTGCTGCATCTAAAAACTGCTCACCGTACACTTTATTAGGCAGTGTTGTCCTCAAGGGTTAAGTCTTATGTTAAGTTATGGCTTAATATGGCCTTAATATTAAGGCTTAGGAAAAATCTGGACCGCAACTAAACCTTAATTAAGCCCTTAATGATGGCATTATATAAGGTTTTACCTTGAACTCGGGCGACTTTGGCGCAGGTTGAGACCATCCGAGGTGTCTACAACTTTTCTGACCTCGGTCAACACCGTTTCCTAGATCCCACAGTTTTCTTTCGGTGGCCGAACCACTTTTTATCAGAATTTGGTGTGTCGGGGAGCCTCTGAAATGGGAATCCTGAAGGAATGCGAGGGGTCAAGAGGGAATAGACTTCAAAACCTCTCAGCCATGCCCTTGTATATTTCAACATCTTTGCAGCCACCAACGGAGAAAATATCACTACCTTTAACTTAAGGCCCTAATATGCCCTTAATATTAAACCAAAATTAAGGCCTAAGGCCTTAACAAAAGAAATTACCCTTATTAATCCCTTAAGGGACAACACTGTTATTAGGTACTGGGAGGTGGTGAGTGAAATGACCGAGAAAGTTCCTTATTCGGGTGTGTTGCACGAGAATACACCACCGAATGTTGAAAGGCGCGTCATAACTGTCGTTGAAGGTTCGAGAAATTCGAGATACATAATAAGGCCCACCGCGGATCAAATACCTCGGGTAATCGACAGACTACAACAACGCGAGGTACGAGCGAATTTTGTTGTACCGGTAGGATGGCAGCTTCCATTTGCCTTCACCTCGACTCCGATGTCATAGGAGGATACGCCTATCGTAGTCAGCATGGACACAAAGAGAGAGTGAGACTACTGACAGACACGGTACACTTTCATTCCTCCACATCGGACGTGGAACACATCGGTGTTAAACCAGTTCTCCCCCGCTATATTTAAGCCTAGGGTAGTCCGAACAAGTCCATCCTGCGTATAAAATGACGGGACGGAATCACTGAAAATGCTGCCTTGAATTCCCCCACAACATGTCGTCTTCACCTACATTCTCATTTGCTACGACGGCCGACGAGGTCGCTACTGGCTTGGCTGAGGAAATCAGGGGCAAAAATGGTATTTCTTGCCGCATACTACTCGCGATGACGCTGAATATTTTAATAGTGTTGATAACTGGAACCTCCCTAAATGGGATTGGTTTCGAGACGGCGCTCGCCATTGCTAAGCGTGCCAACCTTGTGACGATCACGGGCTACAATGCTGACCGGTCAGTCGTTCTTGTCACCTGCGATGCAATACACTCAAGCATGCATTTCTCAGCCTCAAGCTCTCCGAGGACGCCATCAAGAAGGAGGTGCCGACTGCCAATATCCGACGCGTCATTCTTAACCTGTCGTCTCTCACTGCGGTTCGCAAGGCCGCCGAAGTGGTCAACGCAGACCCAGAGCCGTTGCATGTAAGGACAATACGCTCTTATTCCGATTGTTCTCCGCTGAACTAATGACAGGTGCTGATCCACAACGCAGCCGCAGTCCTTGGGCCATTCAAACTCAGCGTCGATGGTCTTGAGAGCCAATTCGCCACCGACCACGTCGGACCATTCCTCCTCACAAAGTTGCTCGCGCCCAAATTGCTTGCTGCCGCGACGCTGGGCTACACCCCTCGCGTCGTGTTTGTCTCCAGCGTGGCCCATGCATTTGGCGCCGGTGTAGACTTTACCACCCTCGAGCACCCGTATCCGGCAAAGTACAGCGCATCCCTAGCGTATTTCCAGGCAAAGTCCGCGAACATCCTCACCGCCATAGAGCTCTCCAAGCGTTCCAAGGGTGCTATTAACGCGTATAGTCTTCATCCTGGTGGTAAGTGTCCAATATTCATTCAGTTTTGCGACGGCAACTGAATCGGGATCTAGTCATTTTTACCAATTTAGTGCAGAAGGAAGAATCCGTTGCTGAGTTGCAGTC